AAATGTCACAAGTATCAGAAAAAAGCATAAATGTCAGAGCATATCAGAACACCTCCAGGGCCAAGAAAACACCTCAGACCCCAGAGGGTTAACGCATTATAGTTCTTCACGTCTATTGCGATCTCAAAATTCTGGCCAGTTGATAATACCTAGAATATCAAAATTAACTGCAGCCGGTAGATCCTTTTCCTATTTAACACCTAAACTTTGGAATAGTCTTCCTAGCATTGTTCTAGAAGCAGACATACTCTGTCAGTTTAAATCTAGACTAACCTGGCATACACATAGAACATTAAACATTTCTATTATTCAAATCAGTTAAATGATTATTAGGCTGCATAAACTAGGTCAGCTGGAACCAGGAACACTTCCTATAACACCTGATGTACTCGTTACATCATAAGAAGAATGTAATTTATGCTAATGTTAGTCTTTCTGTTTATTCCGAGGTTGACTGTAGTCAGCCGGATCCGGGCCATATGGAGATCAGATGGTGGACCTGCGCCTAGACATGAGCTCAGCGCATGATGTAGTCCACCGGATCCGGATTCTGAATGTTCTGATCCAATCTGACTTCTGACCTGTAATTCTACCTGAATCATAATCAAAAACTGTTCATTCGTTGGCCAGAGGAGAACTGTTCGAGAGCATGTTTAAAGTCATTCTTGTATTCGTTTCTTTCCCTTTGTAAGTAACATATTCGTACAGTGTTCACACTGTATGTTACTAGGCCTGGAAGAGGCGGACAGGTAAGAATGTCATGTACTTTTGTTTTTTTGAGTAGTGAGTGTAGATCAGTTAGCGTCACAGACGCTGAAGACTTTTTCTTTTCTTTCTTAATTTTTCTAAGTTAGATTTAGAGGTTATTTAAAAGTTAGACTTTGTTTGGTTTTGCTATTTTCTTTTCTTTGGCGCCACCGGCACTTTAGACACAGTTGCTCCATTAAAGAAGATTAAAGAAAATAGTCCAACGCCATGGTACAACGAGCACACTCAGGCCCTTAAGAGAGCAGCCAGAAAAATGGAAAAAAATAAATATTTCACATTTCATGGAAAGAGAGTTACAATATTGCATACAGAGATGCCTTAAAAACTGCTAGATCTGCTTATTTTTCAACCCTATTAGAAGAAAATAAACAAAACCCTAGGTATTTATTTGAAACAGTGGCTAAACTAACAAAAAATAAAGCTTCAAGCCTAGACGTTTCCAAGCAGCACAGCAGTAATGACTTTATGAACTTCTTTACTTACAAGATTGATACTATCAGGGAGAACATTATAACTATGCAACTGTCATCTAAATCGACAACATGTATGTTAGAGTCTATACCGACTAAACTACTGAAAGATATGCTTCCAGAGTCGAGTCAAGTCACCTTTATTTTTATAGCGCTTTTTACAATACAGATTGTATCAAAGCAGCTTCACAGTGATAACATGAAAATAATACAAGTTTGTTTCTAGAAGAAAATTGCGTCATCGTCCACCTGAAGTAAGGCAGATCAATGACAACGTTGAATATTAAATGTCCCCAACTAAGCAAGCAAAAAGCCAAGGCAGCAGTGGCAAGGAACCAAAACTCCATCAGGTGACAGAATGAAGGAAAAAAAACCTTGGGAGAATCCAGGCTCAGTCGGGGGCCTGTTCTCCTCTGGCCAACGAACGAACAGTGTATGATTATGATTCAGGCAACATTACAGGTCAGAAGTCAGATTGGATCAGAACATTCACAATATTTATCCAGTTCCATCTGGTTGGAGGTCGGAGTCATCACGCAGGTATGGAGACGAGTTTGTAGAGGTGTCCATGAGGCCTTCACAGGGCTGATGAGGCTGGCATTTCAGGGATGCGTTGTGGTTGTGTCCAGCGCAGGTTCACCGTCTGATCTGAATACGGCCCGGATCCGGCTGACTTCAGGAAACCTCAGAATAAACAGAAAGACTAAAATTAGCGTAGATGCCATTCTTCTTATGGATCGGGTGTTGTAGGAAGTGTCTCCAGTTCCGGCTTACCTAATCTATGCAGCCTAATAATCATTTAACTGATTTGAATAATAGAAATGTATAATTTTCTATGTGAATGCCAGGTAAAAGAGATGTGTTTTTAGTCTAGATTTAAACTGACAGAGTGTGCCTGCTTCCCGGACAATGTTAGGGAGACTGTTCCAAAGTTTAGGTGCTAAATAGGAAAATGATCTACCGCTCGCAGTTGATTTTGATATTCTAGGTATTATCAACTGGCCAGAATTTTGAGATCGCATTAGACGTGAAGAACTATAATGCGTTAACCCTCTGGGGTCTGAGGTGTTTTCTTGGCCCTAGAGGTGTTCTGACATGCTCTGACATTTATGCTTTTTTTTGATACTTGTGACATTTTCATGGCTAGAGTATGATTACACTGTATTCAGCACAAACTCTGCTACAGTAATATGTCAGAAGCATGTATGTAAAAGTTTTTAGTTTTGAGATAATGACGTTTATGCGTGGTTTGTGAAAAAACAAAAAAAACATTGTCACTGAAATAAGGTCATGAAACCCATACTAATTATTTCTTCACAAGACTTTTGAAATTTGTATCACATAGCCTAGAATATTTGCTTCAAAACTATGTGAAAATCATCCTGACTACTCATTCAGATAAGACAATATATTGATTTAAAATTTGTAAGACCTGTTTTGTGTAAGAAAGCTTTATGCTGGGAGGCGTTAACCACCCATTAATATTGATGGGTTTGACACCTGCGAAAGACAAAGACCCTCCCCTAATGGCCCTATTAGGTGATATCATTATGAGGAGCCTTGCACAAAGAATGAGGAGAGACTTAAAAAAGAATGGCTTTTAGATTGTTTGGATTTATTTACAACACAACATAATCCAAAGATACACAACAAATGACAAAAAAGCACATTAGTAAACACACTGATCTAAAGACAGAGACTTGGTCAGTCACACACCTTTGTGCCATTCCTAAAACATAGTAGGCTACAGACCTGTCATCTCCAAGGTGTTTGATTTTTCACTTTACCATGTTCATGTACAGAGACTCATGTTAAGACAGCAGGACTCATTAGTGGCATCTGGTCCCTTTAAAAATATTTTTTTAGAAAAAAAACACCTGTGAACATGCTGATATCAAGAGAAACTATAGGGCTGCACGATTTTGGGAATACATTTGAGATTTTTCTGGTTAAAATTATGAAATTTACTAAATACACTATATATATATAGAAGAAGAAGAATGGCATCTACGCTAACTTTAGTGTCTTTGTTTATCCCCAGGTTTTCCCGCAGTCTGCTGGATCCAGGCCGTATCCAGATCTGACGAAGAAGATTCGCCTGGACCCGATGACAATGCAGTGCTGAAGTGTCAACTATCCTCTCCCTATGGAGGATCCCTTTCCCACTCTACAGATAAAGCGTTGTTGAAAATCCGGTTCGCGTACCCCGAAGTGATAAAATAAAACAAAATTCTTTATCAAATGTATAGGCAAGACAAGTAGTTTGTTTAGGCATGGTTTGTAGGGAAATTACAAACCTGCGCACATATATTCAAATGAATATAACTATAGAATCAATTTTTAATGCGCATGTGAACGCATGTGAATGCCATCAGGTCACAGGTTCGCGTTTAAAGTCGGTTTAGAGAGAACGCCGTCGTCTTAGTGGCCCCTAATGTAATAACAAATGATAATTTTGCTGGAAGTGAATCAATCAAAACTAACTTTAGCTGGAAATAACATTCAAAAAGCCAAAACAATCTCTGTTACCGTAAATTGTATGTTTATCTCTGTAAAGCTGCTTTGAAACAATCTCCATTGTTAAAAGCGCTATATAAATGAAGATGACTTGACTTGACTTGACTTGACTTGATGTGAAGCAGATCATGACTGAAATCAGATCCAAGGACTGGTTTCTCATGATAGATCTAAAAGACGCGTACTTCCATGTCTCTATCCTCCCTCAACACAGGAAGTTCCTGAGGTTTTCTTTCAGGGGAAAAGAATACCAATATCGGATGCTTCCATTCGGTCTAGCTCTATCACCCCGTACGTTAACCAAATGCGTAAATGCAGCTCTGGCCTCACTCAGGCTGCAGGGTGCACTACTTGGCCACCGTAGGTACAGGTGGTTTAAAAGTGAATTTTGTATAGTAGCTCATTATTTGACCCACTGGACGCACTTTATTAATTAATATTAATTAAATTAATAAATGGGGCCCAATTGTCACCACTGTGTTCCCACAAAAAAAAAAATATATAATTGGGCCAATTATGGATCGATTAAATGATATACCAATGGGGGCCCCATAAAGTTTTTTTGTCTAGCCCACCTAGGCCCCAATTTTAGCACCCATTTAGCCCCCAAGTGAGCCCATATAATGAACATCTAAATGGGCCCCACTTAGAGCCCACTCTGGACCCATCATGGCCCCTATGGACTAACATACATGGGGCTCATGTGGAGCCGACGGACAAATTTCTCTGGAGCCCATTTGCCCATGCAGGGCCCAAGTGACAGCCCATCAAATACCCACATGGAAATGTTGGCTGGAACATGAGTATGTTTTCAGAAAGCAAAACTGCCGCAAATGAAAGTTTGGCGCTGCATCCTGAAGCTCAACACACAATTATCTTCATTAAAAGTATAGTGAGACTAAATTATATTTTGTTGTTTTGCTCTCCTATTGTGGTCTTTGATCTGAAAATTAGCTAATGATAAATAAAATGCAGCTATCCATTGGTTTCACTGACGTGAACCCTGTATAATTTGCATACAGCTTGGGAATTGAAGAACGGCTTTATATTAATACTGCAGAGACACATTTATGTTGCCATGTGTAAATGGAACAGTTTTAACAAATCGGATAGCTATCTGATGAGCAAAAATGCATGACGTGACCACATTGTGGAAGAGAAAGTGTTTAAATATTAATATGTATATTAATAAAGTGTAAGTGTATCACATTGTGAACAAGAAGAAATGTACTCTCTTACACAAAGGGTCCCTCCAGGTTGTAGACAACTTTAATGTAAACATGGCTGACCATCCTTGGGTTTAGATTGTCCAGTTCCACACTGCCAAACATGCTGAGAAATAGACACTTAAAAATATGCTTATATGTTTATAATGCATACTCAATGTCAAACGAGAAAAAAAAAAAAAACAACATTATTTTTCCACATGCTGTTTAGGCTGAAATGCAATCAATGTTTTATCTAGTCCAAAATGGTTTTCATTAAATAAATTGCGTGATACTTATGATATATATCACAGTATTAGTTCAGTGGTTCCCAATCCAGGTCCTGGGGCCGGTTGCACCTGCTATGCAACTTAGTTACATGCTATGTTACAACTTAGCCTAGTTTTTATGTAAATGGACACTTAGTTACAACTTACACACTACTCAATATTTTTGTGTTGTACCATTAAAGCTGCTGTCCTTAGCTTTTTTGGGGTTAAAGATTATCCAAAATACATATTTGAGAAAATACATAACCAGCCAGTGTTCAAAACTATCTGCTTGCCTTAGCTCGATTCAAAGCGGTAAGCTTGTGATAATGTTTTTAATTCCAGTGGTACTGGTGGATTTCCGTGGGAGATTCCAGCATGTCTTTGCGTCATTACGTCACATCTGTACACATGAAGAAGGAGTCTCGGCTAGTGGGCTATATTGCGTGTGAGGATGTTGGAGGTGGAGATTTATAGCCTTTTCTCACAGCACTTGATATAATTAAACTAATCAATTTGATGGCGGATCCAGAAAGGTTCAAACGACAATCACCAGTGACAACAGATTCACCCATTGTAAAATGCAAAAGACTTCGTTCGGACTTCGGAGTGGCTACAGAAAAAAAAGAGACTGCAACCGGACCCATGCGAAAACAAGGATACATATCGGAAGGACATTACATGTAGTCACGCAATGCTGATGTTGTTAACATTAACAATTCGCCTTTGGCTAAGCCCCGCCCCCCTTAGTTACTGTTGCTATGTCCGACAAACAAACTTCATCTGGGCTCTGGTATCAACATGGCTGCTTAGTATGCTGTGACAGCTCTTCCTACTGAAATTTTATCAAACTTTTATAAAGCAGCAAATAAAGTGTCTGATAGAAGTAGGCAAAAGGGGCTGCAATATACGTTCGAAGGCTATATTTACGACATACAGGTGAAACGCAAGGAACAACAAGGCATCCAAATAGAGACAAAAGCATTCCGGTCACTGTGAACCACCACATAGCAAACAGACTACGCAAGTATAACGTTGTATTTATTGTCAGGATTTGACTTCGGTTTGGGAAGGGAAAAAAATGGACACCCCCCTCCAACCTCTCTGGGAAACATGTATCTGTGTTACAAATGCCCCAGGCACAACGTTTAACCATATTTTTGATAAAACTACGACGGTAATAGCCTGCCGAGACCAAAAATATGAGACGCCTGTGTTAAAGTCAATGGAGCGCTGTGAAAAAGTGTCAGACCTCTGTGGGAGCTCGTTCTTGGCTGCGCTGTGATTGGTCAATCTACATTCTATGGTGTGGCTTAGCCAAAGGCGAATTTGAGAACAAAGTATAATTTGCACAGTTTTGCATGATATGATAGGCGATTTTTAGATTTAATCAGCGCGATTTACTGCAATGTCAGAACCAGAACAAAAGTGGATGTGACTCACTTGTTCAGATGACATTTTCCGGTGAAAAATCTTATGTTGGTCATACTTCCAAAAAGTATAATCTGTGATTCTGAATGCCAGTATCCACACCGGCATGGTGACTGACAGCTGCACACTCTCCTCAAACATTGTGTTCATCCGCGCTGTGCAGTGTCGAACTACAACTCACGTAAAGTTGATAATTCTGCGAATAAGTGCAATTGCAGATTTCGAACAGAGATGGCGACAAAGAGGAAAAACTGCGGACTGCAGCTTTAAACTTAATTGAAATGTAACTCTACGTATAAACTAAATATTTGCAGAAGCCATTGATCAGGAGTAAAGGTTGGAATAAAATAACAGACTGACTGTACTGCATTAATAAATCCAACAAACTCACTCTTCCAACAAATTTCTATGAAACGTCCCCCACAAATGAAGCCTACCCACTGGCAGAACCTTGTGTCCTGTTACAGGACACATTAAGACTGATAACAAGCTTTACAACCCAACGGAATTTCCAGAGAGTTGTGACACTCTCTTAATTCTTGCTGAGAAGAAGAAATGAACCCTTTTAATCCTATATATTCTATTTAAATAACCATGTGATAAATGTATTAACATTTATATAATAAGTATCTAATTTTCCATCTCATAATTTTCCATAATTATGTGTAGCATGTTTAGTCTCTATAAACTCCAATCTTCGTCCCCCATTTGTTAATTTACATTTCATTTTGCTAACTTTATGACGCATTAGTATTATAAGAATCTTGTGGATTCTTTTCGTAAACACCCAATGAAATTAAACATTCAAATGCCCTGCTAGAAGACAATGGGTCGTAAAAATTCCCTCCAAAGGGATGGCTTTTGATTGGCTCACACACCTCCAGAGGGTGTGACATCTTCATGCTTTAAAAACTCTCTTAGCTCCTGGCTTGTCCTCTTGTCTCTTGTCCTCTTGCTCTTGCTCTGAGCCCGTTTGCGCTCTTAGCCTCTTGCTCTCTGACTCTCTTGGTCCTTCTTGAGAAGTCCTAACGTGAAGATGATGCTGAACTAAAAGTCCCTCAAGGGCTCTCAAGCTTGCGCCAGGCTACAGCCTTGTCTTTCCATTCACCAAAGATCCTCTGACTTCCACTGGTTCTCTCTCATCAAGACCACATCAGCAAAGATCAACTGGAGCCTCAACAAATTGCATCAGGACAGTTTAATTCAAATGGACGAGACATGCAAGTATCAAACTTAGTCTCATTATTTGATACATTACGTATCCTTACCCCTTTTTAAGAAGGGCGTGTTAGAACTAAACTGATGGTTTTCTCAGGCTGTTGATCTGCTGAACATTAAACAATGCTATAACTTCTTGCTTTCTTGTATTCTGCTTCAGCTCTCTTTCCCTTGGTAAACTGTATGCATGTATGTATGTGTATGTTAAAAGTAGTTTAAATGTTTAGTCTAGTTAATAAAGTCTTTTTCATATCACACGTAAAGTTGTCCGTGTCTCAAGCTCATATCTGGAGTCACTAATCATAGATCTTGACTACTTGCTCTTAGTAGTACTTAGTAAGAAAGAGATTTCCCATGCCCCGGAAATGTTCATTTCTATTAATTAATTAATAACCATTTGAGTATTCACGGGATGAACCGAGTAATTGGTTGTAATGTTAATGTAGCTACATCAAGTTAACCCGATTAACTGATCCAAATATTCATAATCAATTATAACAAGTTATGATTGATTATTAGTATTTCATAGAGCTAGTTTGCTACACAATAAATAAATGTAATTTCTTATGTTTTTTTTTGTATCAGTATTTATTTCTTGATCCTTATTCATTGCAAATACAGTTTCTGAATGTTATTTATGCTATATATAAATTCGGAGTGTCTATTTACACTAAGTGCAAATAGCCTGCCTTGTTAGCATTGGCTATTTACACTAACTCCACCCATCAATGTCCCTTTGGGCTAGAAAGGGATGAGGGAGGATGGAGGGGGGAGTGGGGAGGGGGGGGGGGGGGGGCTTTATTGTACCAATAAGGAGGCATTTATTTAATAAATACATTCATTTACACTCAATATGTTATTATTGCATACTGTTAAAATTAAAAATTTAAATTACTAAAATACTGAGGTGCAAATCATATTTAACTATTTACATTTATTCCAAAGAAAATACTGTTATTTTTACATAGCTATAGATTCTATTTACACTATTTTCACTTAGTGTAAATAGCATATCATTAAGAAAATACTTATATTTTCACTTAGTGTAAATAGAAGCTATTGCTATTTGCACTTAGTGTAAATAGAATATATCACTATTTGCACTTAGTGTAAATAGCATCTATCGCTAATAAAATGTGCTATTTTCACTTAGTGTAAATAGCTTCTGCCATATAAAATACCAATTATAATCATGTTTAAATGCTATCATATTTAATTCAACTTATTTTTACCGTTAGTTATGTAAGGCAAAAGTTAGATGGATGGATAAAATGAAAATCACAGCATTTCAACAGAACTTCTGTGCATGCATTTCAGGGCTGATACTCGCTCATATTATATTTACTAGCTACGTTCTGCCTCAAGAACATATATCACCGAATAAAGTACTGAGTTAGTAACAAACTAGCTAGTTGTTACTAAGCCTCTATTGACAGTGTTCCAATTTAAGTAAGAAATTACAAATGGGTGGTGCAACCCTACACTGGAGTGCCCCCAGCTCTGCACATTTTAGATGTCTCCCAAACACTCCTGATTCAACACATTAGCTCGTTAGTAAAGACTCCAAGACCTCAGCTGTGTTTGAAATTGCATTCCAGGATTGAATGAGAGCACTCGATAATGTCCACTATGGTTTAGGACATCACTACAAATTACTGTTTAGGGGACAATTAAGAACACAGCCCTCAAATATGTAGATAAGAGAGACATGAAAAATATGCAGTGTTGCTGGTACTACAGGACCAGGATTGGGAATTGCTAGTTCAATGGCTGAAGTGAGGCACTATTTCATATGTTCCTGATTTTAAAAGAACAATAATGAAGCTTGAGTCTCTCTCTCTCTCTCTCTCTCTGTAATATAAGATGTCTCATAATCATCATATAACAAAATTACATTACAGACCTTCATGAAACACTGGGCATATATACTTTTGAAAGTTTTTTTTTCAAAGCAAAAATCAAGGTTATGATTAGGCCTCTTGTGAAGCTTATAATTTTATAAAAGCACTTATATTAATTTATCTGTTTAAAATAAACAAATAAATTATTTAAGCTGTAAAACTGTTAAAATCATAATTTTTATAGTTTATGACTATGTTGTCAAGGCAACAAAGTTTAAATGTAATACCTTTACTTTTAAAAGGGTTAATAAATTATTTTTTCCCCACAATAAAATCACACTTACATGTATATTGTTACTAATGAGTTAACATTACTCATTAGTGTAGCATAAGTGATGACATTGAAGAGCCATTTTGAGGTTCCCACAGAACCTTTCCCTTAAATCAAAATAATCTAAAGAACCTTTTTTTACTATAAAGAACTCATTTGTGCAATGGAATGCTTCCGTGGATGTTCATGGAACCATATATGCCAATAAAGTACATTTATTTTTTAAAAGTGTTCTGAAACTTCCATTGTAAGTGCTACACTGTCACCCTGGTTTTTGTTTTTTCCAAAGAAAAGGATGAGGAAAATAGAAGTGGAAATATTTAGTTATGGTCAACATTACAAGTGCTGTCGACTTGTACTGAACCCTAAATTTTCTTTTAAGTATATAAGTTTACAAGGTAGATGGAGTAAAGGCATAGCCTGGGATCAGACAAGATGTAAATCTTATATAAAGCTTTATAAAGCTATATATCTGTGATCCTTGTCTCCAAAAGTTTGCACAAAAGCTTTGCTGTGATCTCAGAAATTATATATATTGTATAGAAACAGCCCATTAGAATTCTTATTAGGTTACTAAAACATTTTGGGTTTTTTTCAGGTTTATGTTGTTCACAACTAGCAATTCAGTTCATGACCATTATGATTATTTAAAGAAGCTCAATTTTTACTAAGAACATCTTAAACTGCAGAAATCAAATTATTTTAAAGTTTAAAGGGGCATAAGCATATTATCACATTGCACATTATAGCTAGAAAAATAAACATACACACCTTTTTTTGTTGTAAGCATGATGAATTGATCCATTTAGCAAGACTGTAATATTTCCGCATGCTGCCATTGCAAACTGTAAAGACAGATTCAAACCAATGAAATGCATTAGCACAGCTTCATTCGATTTTGATAAACTATTAGAAGGCCACTGTTTTACGTGGATATTGGATATGGGGACACAAGTGAAGTACGAAGCCTTGTTTATATAATAAATAGTTTAGCATCCAAATACATGCAACTATGGCAACATTTGGGATTTGTGAGTGTAATGGTCTCTTTTTGTTTCTGTTTTGGTTTCGTTTTCACTCATTGCCATGTTCCATTTTGCTTGAGTTGTCTGTAATTGCTAGTTTCCATGGTTATTCATTAGTTCCTCACCTGTTTGTAGTTCCTTTAATTACTCTGTCTGTGCATATAAGCTCTTAGTTTCCTTAGTTCTTTTACCAGCGTCGGCCAATAGTGAGCCTACGTGTGATGTGCAACACAGAAGCTTTGCGCAATATCACACTACGTGAACTCACTCGAGGCCCACAGGGAAGGAAATGAATAGTTGAATAAAGTCGTTATTTTTGTTTGTTTTTTTGCGCACGAAAAGTATTCTCGTCGCTTGATAAACTTAAGCTTGAGCCACTGTAGTCACTCGGACTATTTTAACGATGTCTTTCATAACTTTTGGGCCGGCCAGTTTCGATCCCTTAAGAAGGAGGAGTGATCCAGCTCTCAGATTTAATCAAAAATATCTTAATTTGTGTTCCGAAGATCAACGAAAGTCTTACGGGGTTGGAACAACATGAGGGTGAGTAATTACTGACAGAATTTTCATTTTTGGGTGAACTAACCCTTTAATTTCAAGATTGACATGAAGTTTACATTTGAAACATTACAAGGACTTTCAAGCTGTACAGCTTCTCAGAAATGAGTGCTTTAGCATAAGTTCTGCCAGGAAGACTCAATCGTTACATCACTTATTACCTTCACATCTAACCAATCATGTTCTAATACTTGCAGTATAAAAGATCGGTATTTACACATGTCTGAGTTCGCAGATGCTGACGCAAACAATTACCTCCATCCAACCCCACCTCCACCAGGATGGTCCCTTCCCCTCCATTCTCCCCACCCCCACCAGGATGGTCCCTTCCCCTCTATCCTCTCCACCACCACCAGGATGGTCCCTTCCCATACCTCCCAGGGGGTCGGCTGCGCCCCTGCCTTCGTCTTCAAGCAGGAAATGCAGATTCAGCTACCCTCGGATTGCGCGATAAGGACGGGGCCTACGCCAAAGAACTTTATAAATATTTGCTTGCTGGGCTGTTAATAAATATATGCTTTTGTTACATCATTTTATCTCTCAAGTCTTTCTGGAAGAACTATAGACATATACAAATAATAAAGTTTCTCTTTTTTTTAGATACATGAGATACTTCTTGTAACACGGTTAGTTTTTTTGGGAAGGAGGTGGGAACCGGTGAACGTTTAAACACACTTTAATAATAAAAAAATAAACCATCTACAAAACAAAAGTAAAGGCGGGAGCCCCTCACGGACAACTGTCGCCACATATAAACAAAACATAACATAAATAGTCCAGGCCTGATCATCTCTTGTCCTTCACCGCCGTCGCTCCTCCTTTTATGCTTCCGAAGCTCCTCCGTGAGAGATACGAGACCGGTGCAGCACGCAGGTGACGCTCATCATCAATCACGTCACCGGCCTCGCGCTGTTCTCTCACGGCCCTAAGCCACGTCCTGCTTGCCACATGAAGGCTATAGAAACTAGCAAACGTGTTGGGTGTCGCCCAGCCAGAAGGTCTATAAATATCTGTCAGCGAGGCGCCTTGTGCCAATGCCCAGGAAGAGGCTACACCCCTAGTAGAGTGGGCTCTTAACTCCTCCGGGGGTAGCGCTTGCAGGTTCACCACCTGGTCCTTGAAGGGAGTGGTAGGAAACTTGGGCACATGAGAGTTAGCAGGGCCAAATTCCAGGCGCGATTCGTCGACCGAAAATGCAAGCAGGTCCCCCACTCTCTTGATAGAAGCCAGCACAGTCAGGAGTACTGTCTTCATGGACAGGTTATTAAACTCAGCTGACTGCAGTGGTTCAAAAGGGGCTCTCTTATAGGGACACTTCACCCATTTGCATTAAGCTTTGTATTGTTAGAAACCCAGTCATATATTATAATGATCGTGGATTTTTCATTTATTTTTCCCTGAGATGGGAGAAATAAGGATTTAAGTGTTTTACTTCCTGCTTATTGTGACGTAAAAATCGTCATTTTGCGTCACAATAAGCAGGAAGTCACATTTCATTGAAAAGTGTAGACTACAAACACAAGCTCATCATTTATTCAGGGTGTGGGACCCACTCACGCTACAGACCTATAAACAGATCAGTGGGTGGGACTTCACTTGCAGATACAGAAAGCAATATCAGCCATCTTGTTTGGAAACTAAGCTAACAAGCGCTGTGGAGATGGGAAGCTACGACAATGACGGAAGAAACTAAACATGATATGGAAGAAGAGGATTTTGAAATTCTGCTGCTCGAATCCGCTGTTCGTGGCTATCTTTACGAGCCGCAATATAGTGAAGAGCAGCTGAGGCTGATGGAGGAACAGGAGGCGGCTGCCTGTCGCGGACGAGGAGCCCGGACTGGCTCGAGCTGGGCGGACTGCTGGTGCCTGTGCTCTCGTGTGCGCAACGGACACAGATAGAGTCCGTTTGCTGCAGAGAATTTCAACGATGGCAATTTCTCCTGGACGAAATCTCTGAATCAGACGAGCACACGGACGTTTGTGTTGTGACATGAACCATCCTAATTTCGCACCGCATGTTCTGACTGAACATTCAGGTATCATGCAATAATTCACCATATAGAAAGAAATACAAACGAGGAGTAATTCGCTAATGAGTTTGCCAATGTAACGGGGTTCGTTGTTGTGGGAAGGAGGCGGGAACCGGCAAACATTTAAACATTTTAATAGTAAAATAAACAAATACAAAACAAAAGTATAAGCCAGCAGTCCCTCACTGTTGGCCACACACAACAGAAACAAAACACAACATAAAATCAGGACTGTTCCTCAATCGATCTGGACTGTCGTCGCTCCTCGTTTTATGCGTCCGCTCCTCGGTGAGAGACACGAGAGAGACCGGTGCGTCTCACAGGTGTCGTTCATTATCACTCGCGTCACCGGCCTAGCGCAGTCCTCTCACGTCCCTCGCCCTCGTCCTGCTCGCCACAGCCAACTAACTATACATTTTGTGTGAAATGAATTTCTAACTCTGGTGGCAGCTAACGTTAGCCTTGTAGACGGAAGAGTGATTTGTGATATTTGCGCTGCTGTTCTGGATTAGTGGGAGTGGCTTGCGGAGCTGTGCAATGTGGTGCATTGTGGGAGTTGTTGTCTTACATACAAATGCGCCCAAAAGTTATTTTCTGTCTTTTCTCGGTCAAGAGGGCACCGAATTCAAAATTTCTTTTACATTTCGACTACATATATGACCCACTTTCAATAAAGATTAATGTTGAAATGGGTGAAGTGCTCCTTTAAGTGCTGTTAGCACAAGTGAGAGATCCCAAGAGGGTACGGGGTGAGAGCGAGGAGGATTAAACCTTCTTGCACCCTTTTGTGATGTGCGGGTAGACAGCCTTCACTCCAACCCATCTTGCAGGAAGGAAAGCACAACTTTGATCGGGCATCTCCGGGGGTCTTCCTGGTGAGAAGAACACAATTCGACAAACAGGTTCCATTTCAACGCATATAGGCGCCTTGTAGAGGGGGCTCTTGCGGAAGTGATGGTGTCTACCACCGCTTGGGGTACATCACCTAAGTCCTCCGCGTCCTGTCTAGAGGCCAGAAATTGAGATTCCAGAGGTCTGGACGCTGGTGCCATAGGGTGTCCCGTCTCTAAGAGAAAAAAAAGTCCTTCCTCAGAAGAATGCGCTAGGGAGGGCTTATCGTGAGGAGCATGAGTTCTGGGAACCTAGAATATGGAGCAACTAGCAAGACCTGCTCCTCAACAACAGCATGCCTGGACACTTGTTCTAGGGCAACTGCTGCCCGTAGAAACGAAGGGGCCCGACCACAAGCTGAAGGTTTGGCGGAAGGCCTGGGTGATTTTCACACGGAGCATGCCACCTTGCCACGCCCATTTCGAGACCCGGCCGTGATGCCAGTGCTGAAGCGGCCTCATATGAAGCAATCCGAGTGGCGTTATTGTGGCTGCAGATGCCAAATGCCCCAGGAGCCTCTGAAAGAGTTTCAGCAGATCTGCTGTCCTGCCTTTGAACAAATTCAAGCAGTTTAACACTGACCAAGCACGTTCCTCTGTGAGGCGTGCTGTCTGGCTGACCGAGTCCAGCTCCATGCCGAAAAAAGAGATCCTCTCCACGGGGACGAGTTTGCTCTTTTCCCAGTTGACCAGAAGGCCCAACTGGCTGAGGTGACTGAGCACCATGTCCCTGTGCTCGCACAACTGATCTCGCGACTGAGTCAGACTGAGCCAGTCATCGAGATAGTTGAGGATGCGAATGCCACGTTCTCTCAGGGGAACAAGGGCCACCTCCGCTACCTTCCTGAAGATGCGGGATGACAGGGCCAGCCTGAAGGGGAGGACTTTGTACTGATATGCCCGTCCCTCGAATGCAAAGCGTAGGAATGGTCTGTGTCAAGGGAGAATCGAGACATGAAAGTACACATCCTTCAGGTCGATCGCTGCAAACCAATTTTCGGGACGGATGCACCTGAAGATGCGGTTCTGTGTTAGCATTTTGAACGGGAGCTTGTGAAGGGCCCGATTCAAAACTCGCAGGTCCAAGATTGGCTGTAACCCACCACCTTTCTTGGATAGGGTTGGTTAAGCAAAACTAATGTGTTTATGTCTGAGAACCATACACATACTTAACTGCAGATACTGAAATGACATACACTGTGTGGTACAGTACAATATTTTGAGTGTCCCTTATTTTCCATATAAAGAAGTCTCGGTTACAGATGTAACCCTCGTTCCCTGAGTAGGGAACGGAGACGTTACGTCGAATGACGAAATGGGATTCGCTTCTCATCTTCAAA